AATTCAAAATTTTACAAATTCAAAATTTTTAAAACACTTATTTTTAAAGAGATTTGATATGCACAAAAGAAAACAAAAAAACAACTTTTTAAAAAATTACAAACCTAAGAGTCTTATACTGTCAAAGAGATTTTAATATAAAAAATAAAATTAAAAAAAAACCAAAAAATACTAATTACATAAAATAGGACCTATTAGTCCAACAAAAAACTTTCAGGACTAAATGGGTTAAGATTCTCAAATTCGGGACTTAATGGTGCTTTACCCTTTTTTTTTCTTCCCAAAGAACTTGATAACATAATGGAATTTTTCAATGGAAAAAATAAATAGTATAATTAATAAATATTGCGCTTACAATATATGATAAGATTGCAATGTTCTTGAATAACCATAAGATTACAATGTTATTGAATATAAAATTAATATTTTACTGTGAATAGAGATAAGTGAAGATGGTGAAAGTGAATTAAAATTACACAATAAAGCACACAAAATAGAAAAATACAAAGCCAAGACTCTTAGAATATTATAATCAAAGAGATTTGATATACGCAAATAATAATAATAATAATAATAATAATAATAATAATAATAATAATAATAATAATAATAATAATAATAATAGTGAAATCTATTAACATTAAAAACATAATAAAACCAAAAGAAGAAACTTTTTTTTTTTTTAAGCACTAAATTCTTTCTTAAAAAAACACACACAACAAAAAAAATTAAGAAAACAAATAAACAATTTTTTTAAAAACTATAAATCCAAAATTCTTAGAACCCTTATTTTTAAAGAGATTTGATGTACACAAAGAAAAATAAACAGTTACAGTAAAACATATTTGATAAAAAAAATTAAGAAAACAAACAAATAACTTTTTAACAAATTACAAACCTAAGACACTTATACTTTCAAAGATATTTTTAATATAAAAAAAAATTAAAAAACAAACAAAAACACAAACTCATTTTAAAAAAAAAATTAAGAAATACTGAATTATTTCTTATACTCTATTTTTTTTTTCCCTTCCCAAAGAACTTGATAACATGGTGGAACATTTTAACGAAAAAAAAGAAAAGAAAGTATAATTAACAAATATTACACTTACAGTATAGGATAAGCTTGCAATATTGTTGAATAACCATAAGATTGCAATGCTCTTCAATAGAGAAATGATATTTTACACAAAATAGAGAGAAGTGAAGATGATGAAAGTGAATTGAAACTACATAATAATTATTTGTATTTTTTAGATAGAAACTGCACAACGTTTTAAAAAGAGAAAAAAATCAAAATAAATAAATCTATACTATATATATAATAGAATGTAGTGCTATTTCCAAAAGCCTTCAAAATGATATTCTAAAATTCTCATAATTTTAAAAAATACGTGGCAGCTCTCTTTTTAGTTTATAGTTCATTTCCTCCCCTCTCAAAGACTTTCGGAATGATAAAAACTCTTAACAAAACCTAAAAAAAATTCAAGACTTTCACTCTCTCACAACTCCTACAATAGATACATATCCCTCTCCCATGCTACTCTCCCACCTCAAACAAATCTAAAATATACTTCATTAACTTCCTTCATCAGCAGTGAACACCAGCAGTCCCTGAATTCAGCAGTCCGCCTCTCGATCGAATGCATGTCTCAGTTCTTCTTTTTCTTTTTCTTTTGCTTTACTAATTTATTTTTTGTTCCAAGCATTTGTGATTTTGTATTTTCATTAT